CGAAGTAGCGCTCAGCGTAGATAGCTTCGACCATGGCCACGATGTCCGAGGGAAACCCAAATCGTCGTAAAGCGTTGCACATGCTTGTAGGTTTGAGTCTGTCGAACGCTTTAGCCCAATCCAACATTAACAAAATGAGGCCACCGTGCTTGTTGCTGTGAGCCGCGTCAATCATGCGCCGGACGAGCATGAGCGCGTCTGCCGACCCGCGCCCAGGGCGGAACCCAAATTGTGATCCGCGCATTCGAGACTCAGCGCCACCTTGAATTAGACGTTGATGGATCATGGAGGCTAGGAGCTTATACCCAATTTGGAGTAAAGATATGGGTCTGTAGTTCTCTGGCAATTTGATATTTCCTTTCTTGAACAAAAGAACCACGTTCGCGCGCCTCCAAGACTCGGGAATTGCTTTGTGTTCCCAACATGTCTGGCACAGGCGAAGCATTATAGCAAAGGCATCTGGATCTGATCCCAAAGTTTTCCAAAAGTCCGGCGGAATACCATCGGGCCCCGGAGCCTTGCCAGGACGTAGCCGGCGCAGCGCTCCAACCAGTTCATCCGGGATGAAAGGGCCCGTGTTGATAGGTAGCAAATCACCTATGGGAGCTCGCGGTTCCGGGACATTCTCTGGGAAGCGTATTTGCCATTGGATGTCTTCGAAGTAGTCGGCCAAAACGTCTGCTCGATCAGCTGTGTCTGCCAGGGTCCCGTCCGGGCGCTGTATTGTCGCGTGCTTGATGCTTGGAGGTTTTCTGAGATGTCGCACTGCTTCCCAACCTCCCCTTTGGATTAGTAGGCCCAGCCATTCTTTACGATCTTGAGCTCCAGACTTCCGAATCTCCTTATGTAAACGCTTTTCGGTTTTATGGTCCCCAGCTGAACGTGCATCTCTTCTCTGCTCGATTAAATCAAGAGTGCGCTGGCTTGTCCACGCTTGCTTCGGCACCGTCTCCCGCATAGGCAATGTTCCAGAGGCTTTTTCGAAACCGTATCGTACCCTACTGTTCATAGCTTCAACAGACTCATTGCCATTGCCAATTGAAACGCCCACGGCCCCAACAAATGCTGATGTAAAACGCTCTCTGGTGTGGGGGTCTTTGAGGCTTGCCTTGTCCGCGTGCTTCTTCTTTGAGGTTTCCTGACGCTTGAACGCCAAATTTGATTCGACAATGGTTAGGTAATGGTGCGAATTGAGAACGTCCAGTCGGCTCGTCCAGGAATCTCGCAAGGTATGCAAAACACTGTGGTGGCATAGAACGTGATCCAATTGAGCAAACTTGCGCCCAGATATCTCGTTGTCCGTCGGATCGACGCCCAGATCTCTATAGGAAATTTTCATGACGTCAGGGTGGTCGTGGTATGTGTTTGCAACCAGCAAGCCACAAGACGTACATAACTCCACTAGGAGGTGCCTGTTTGAAATTGTGTTCTGCACCACGTTATCCGGGGCATCCGCGCACTGAAAAACATGAGGACCAACGATAGCTTCCTCTCCAGCTCCGGCACGTACGAGCCTAGCGTTCAGATCTCCCATGATGTACGTCGTGCTGTTCGCCGTGGTTGCTCGGATATGCGCCTGAAGGTCCATGTAGAAAGTGTGCCGCTCGTCATATGGGCGGCCGTTGTGTGGGGCATACGTGGAAAGCAATGTAAGCATACCATGTCTAACTTTTACTCGTAGGGAGGCCACTCTGGGAGAGCACGCCTTGAAGGCCACAATACTTTTCAATATTTTTGGCGACGCCACAAACCCAACACCAGAGTGCGACGTGATGTGTATGTCCAGCTCGCCTGACAAGAAAATCGTGTAGCCATTATGCTCGTAGTATTCTGCTCCATGTAAGTGCGTTTCTTGTATACATAAAATGTCTATTTCGCGTATGCGCATGATGTCGATAATTTCGTCGATCTTGACGATGGAATCGCCTCGTAAACCTTCGATGTTCCACGTTCCCATGCGCCCGGGGCAGCAAGGTGAGCAGGCAGACCGAGGTCTACCCCAAGAGAGGCTGGAAGAGGATGATAGTTCATGACACCCTCCGTCACTTTGTCCATGGGGATGGCCGGGAGGAGGAGGTAGAAGACTATGGAGCGGAACGGCGTCGTGGAGTAAGGGAGATGAAACGACCGCTCTCCGCTGTACGACGGTATCTTTGCCCAAGTTCGTAACGGCGGTAATGGTATCTTTGCCCACGATGGCGGTATAACTATGTACATGTAGATCTTCTGGGCCGGCTCTGGGGACCGGCCGTGTTTCCTACTTACCCTTGGAGCCTCCCTTTGCTGTGCCTTTCATGCCCTCGGAGGCCCGCTCCAGCAACGAGGCGTTTTTCGCGATGAGATCGGTCAGCATGGGATGTTTTTGAAGTTCTTCCCAAGCTTCCCACTCTGGGCCCCATTTCAGTACCAGGCGCGACTCGTCCACGCCCACGGAAAGGGCAGTAACGCCACCAACGGAGACTATGAAAGGAAACTCGTTGGTTGCAATCTGTATATTGTACTTGTTGTTCAGCTCGTTGTTGAGGATGCGCTTCAAGCCAAAACATACGTTACGAGCCGCGCGGAAGGACGGTGGCTTGTCCTGTGTAACCCAGATTGTTGTCCCTCCGTGGTCAGGGCTCGCACTCCGTAACAATCCAACTGCCAAGTCTCGATCAGCTTCGCTTGCAAATACCGCGAAGATAATGTCTCGGAAGTTGAATATATGTCCATAGCTGCAGGCGCCGACAACGAGGAAAGCAGGTCTTTGACCCAAGAAGAGGCTGCTGACATGGAATCGAAACCAACCAACTTTCCAATCACTGCTGTACGGTCCCGCTTTGCCTCCCCTGACATGTTTGATTGTTGTGCTTTGCCTGATACTTTTAGCTCCGAAACCTGACCCTCCAACATCTTGATCTGCTCCCAGATGGCCGCGTCGTCGCTCCGGGGGGTGGCCGTGGCGTCGGAATGCTCGGTGGTCTGGTTCTCAAGGTTGGTGAGGCGGATGGCGAGGTCCTCGATGCTCTCCTCCACCTCCTCGATCCTGGTGTTGATGGTCCCGCTCATCTCATTCAGGCGGCGTTCGAGGCCGTTGATGGTGTTGCGGATAGGTTGCACCTCCTTGCGTATCACGTTCGCGATTTGATCCAAGGTAGGTGGACGTGGATGTTGATGCTCCTGTTGAACGGGTCCTCCTGCTGGTGGTAGTGCCTCCGCAGGGGTCGTAGGGGTTGCAAGTGCGTGAACCTCAGGGCCGTCGTCGCCATCCATTTGATTTAGTGGGCTGAATAGGCGTCGGCGCAGAATGCTCTCCCTCCCGACTCCTACTGGCGTACCTGGAGCGCGGGTGTGCGCACGTGGAGGGCCATCACGCTCGGCGGCCGATGGAGAAGAGCTCGAAGCCATGACCATTGGAAGAGGCAGCAAAAGTGTGGAAGAAAAGATGTGGAGGTGGGAAGTGTTGGTATGTAAGAAGCGAAACGCGTGAGAGGGGGTGCCAAAATGGGCGCGGTGGGCGCATGCGAGCGCTGGCATATGGGCCTTCGGTGCGCGTGAGGGGTGGACCAAATAGGGCGCGGTGGGCGCATGCGAGCGTTGGCATGTGGGCGTCCAGTGGAGTGCCTTGTGGGGCCACGAAACGTACGAGGGGTGTGTGCCAAAATGGTTGCGGTGGGCGCATGCGAGCGCTGGCATGTGGGCCTTCGGTGGAGCGCCCCATGGGGCCACGAAGCGTACGAAGTGCGTGCCAAAATTGGTGCGGTGGGCGCATGCGAGCGCTGGCATTCGGGCCCTCGGTGGGGCCATGCGTGAGGGGTGTGCCAAAATGGTGTCGGTGGGCGCACGCAATGGCTGGCATCTGGGCCTTCGGTGGAGTTCGCTATGGGACCACAAAACGTGCGAGGGGAGTTCCAGAATGCGTGCGGTGGGCGCGTGCGAGGTTGGCATGTGGGCATTCGGTAGAGTCCCCTATGGGGCCGCGAAACGCGTGCGAGGGGTGTCCCAGCAAGTGCGCGGTGGGCGCATGCGAGCGCTGGCATATGGGCATTCGGCGAGGTGGGCGCATGCGAGCGCTGGCATGTGGGCCTTAAGTGGAGCTCCCTATGGGGCCACGAGACGTATGAGGGGCGCGCCAAAGAGGAGGAGCACAGGAAGGAGAAGAGGAGAGGAGGAAAGGGGAGGAGAGAAGAGGAGGTGGGACGTGGGGCGTTCTCTTCAAAACGAAGACCCCAAACCACAAAATGGTTGGAAATAATCACGCCGTCGGAGATTTCGCTACCGCGTCCTAGCTCGGTTCTCTGGCGGCCGTTCGGGGCCAACCGAGCACCCCCCGAACGCTCTCGGCGAGGGCAGTAGGAACAAGGCACCCTGGGGCTGCAGACGCCGACCGATAACGAATTCACGGAAGCGCCCGAAAACTTTCAACCTCCGACCACGACCGCACTCACGAGCGGCAAACGTATCCGTGTCCGCGCCCTCGCTGTCTGGATGACAAGGCGCGATCCCGCGGACGCGCCGTCCCGCGGATGCGTTCCGCGCGGGGCATCCGCGATGAAGCGCCCTGCGTCCGCGAGGTCGCGGCATAGGAGCCCGGCCCGCGAGGCCGCGGACACGGATACTTGTTTCGCCCGCGACGGGGGGATCCAGGTCGCCACCAAGCCTTGCCAGACTTGCCTGCAGATGGAAGGTGCAAGCTTGACCATCAAGACCACCGAGCAAATGGCTGCACGACGTTCGACTAAAGACCGCCAGGCCAGCCGGGAACGTCACGAACCATGGCCAAGACCGAATGCGGAAGCGGCGGCGTTGATACGTCGACCTCTGGGAGGGTGCAAAAGCCTGATAAGGCAGTCGTCTTGCAAAATGAAACGCCTTGATTAAGCCAGTCGAAACGATCCCGTCGCACGGGAAGCGGGCTCCCATATCTCGCAAGGCGCAGGCGCGGTCAGGAGCTCTAGCGGCGAGCAGGGTTGGCAGCGCGGGGTGGGGAGAGGCGAAGGTTCACAATCTTAGACACGCAGCGGCTTCCTCATCAACGCTGAAAACGGGCTGGCCTGCGGGACTCTGCGATTCACCCTCACGGGTATCTAAGCCGGAAATCAACGCTCGCCGCGGTTTGCTACTCCGCTGGGAGCACGGTTCAGAGTGGCAGCGCGGGGTGGGGAGAGGCGGAGATTCGCAATCCTAGACATGCAACGGCTTCCTCATCAGCGCTGAAGTCGGTAGTGGGCATTGTCCACCTCGGCCACCGTCGAAGCATCTCTAAGCACTCCGACCCACAACCCAGGGTGGCGGGATGGGCCGAAGTCCATTCGATACACCTCGGTCAGGAGAAGCAGGCAAAAAAATGAAGGAGGAAGGTGGACAAAGTAGGTTGGGCCCAGGCCCTCCCAGATAAGAACAGAACACACAACAAAAGCATGTCGAGTCCTGAAGTAAGGAGCCGCATGAAGCAAATCTAGGATATGGGAATCTACGAATATCTACTTTCAACGACCGGCGGGCATGTTACAGGCTGGTGAGCATACGCACGCCGTGCCTACAGGAACCAACAACAACTGCATAAACATGAGCTTTTGGCAGTCGGCGCGGATTTCTTGGATCTGAGCTGGATCCCTCCTTGGCGCGCGGAGCTCGCCGGGGGCGGCGCTGGAGGCGCCACTAGGGGTCCCAGCGCAGATCCAAGAAATCCGCGCGGACCGCCAAACGTGTATGTTCGGCGGGGAGCGAGGGGGGGAAGTGAGAAGGAAAAGGCCTTTTCAGAAGGTTCGAAAGTCCCCAAGCCTGCTAACATGTTTTCTAATCCTTCACCGAAGACAAACAACAACTTCTCAGAAAGCGCGAGGGCTTCTGAGAAGTCCCGCCGCCTTCTGAGAAGGTCTTCTCCTTCTCACTTTTCCCCCTCGCTCGCCGCGGACGTGTGCATGCCGTCTCTTGTTCTTCGAGTGCCCCCCCGCGCGCGGGGCCTGAGCGCCCTGCAATGCCGCGTCCCCGGCGGCGCACGCCTCGCGCAGCCGGAGCCGCGCCTCCTCCAGCAGGGCGAGCTCGGCCTCGTGGGCGGCGGCCTCGTGGGCGGCGGCGGTGGGGCCGGCGGCTCCCCCGAGCGGCCCATGGATAGGCAGAAAAGGTGTCCCGGGGACCCAAGTCAGGAGGACTGGGAAACATTGGGAGAAACCTTTGCCATTGTGGCTCGGGCCATGTTGGCTCAAGGCATACATCGCAAGGCGAAATTCTCAATCACATTAAACTTACTCTACAACCCAACTTCTTCGTGGATTGCCGACTTTGTCTCACACGCCGGAGAAACATATGATTTCTTCCCCGCAGCCGCAGATGGGGTCGGCGTCGGACGCGGTCGCAGCGGCATCCTCCCGAGTGCTGGGTACACACTTGTGGGCAAGCTGGTGAACAACCCTTTCATGGAAAGGCTGCGTACCAAGTACTCGGATGCAGATTCTCCCTTGACACCCCTACTCCCGAAAGAAGGCTACCAGAAGATGGAGGACGACCAGGAGGATGAGGAAATGATCCCAGGACCAGTCGAACAGCTGAACCTCGAGGGGGTCTCGGATGGTGGGGGGGGGGGGGAAAGGTCAGGTCACCATGGAGAGGATCGCGGGTCTTCTCCGCCAGGGAATGGCCCCCATGGCAAAGGCGATACAGGAACTCCAGCAGGGCTTTGGGAGCCTCGACCTCGACCTGCGGCTGTCCAGCCTCAAAGATGCGGTGGACGTCCGCCTCAACTCCGACGAGAAACGCCTCGACGTCTCCGATGTTCAAATCGAAGAACTGGAGAACCTGGTGAACCAGCTTTCGGACAAGGCCTGCACTTTCCACGCGAACCCCCAGAAGGATGCATGAGGGGCGGGGGGACGGTAGACAACGTAGCATCACAGCAATGGTTGGCAACCTTGACTGGCTCGATCCGCTGGATGCGGCCAGCACGTGGCTTCACTCCAAGACCTATTCGAAGAAGGACTTCGGCGGAATGATGTTCGCGGAGTTACGGGATTCGGCTTCGCGGCATGCAGCTGTGAATGTTCTGAGAAAGGCTGGGCTGAAGTCGGGGGGGGGGGGGAAGAACATCAGGGTCAACCAGGACCGTCCAATCTTGGAAAGGGCTGCGAGGAATTTCTGTTTTGGCTTGAAGCACGTGTTCAGAAGCGATTGGAGCATCCCCTATACGGTCACGGTGAGCGACGAGGCCCCCTACACAGTAACGGTCGGGGGGGAGGCGGCGGTGACGGCACACTTTTTCCGACAAGGTCTTGCAGGAGTGGGGCGGAGAGTGAGCCGAGTGGGAGGAATTGCGCAAGGGTCCCGAGGTCAAAGAGCTTGTGGACAAGTGCAACATCTTGGTCCCGAAGGCTTCCAAGGGCACACAGGGCCATACCAAAGGCACCCCGGCGAGCGCGGGCAAGGGTGCCAAAGCCAGGCACGCCAGGGGCTTGGGCGCATTAGTATGGGAAAATTTGAAGATGATGATTCATCCCGAGGTCGGCTACAGGACCTGGGAATCACAACATAGTGAATGACAAGCAACGGTATGAGGCGATTTTCTTCAAAGGCGGTATGTTGCGACAAACTTCCGATCGATTCGTCGCCGGAACTTGGAACATAGAAGGGCAAACAAATGAGAAACGTGTCACACTATCACGGTAGATGGTGAACGTGGTTACACGTGACACACAAGACGATGTCCGAGGTATCTACTACAGACGATGGGTTATGTTGATTCAGTCAGGGTCGTCCACGACAGAAGTGGTGGAAACTGCTGGGGTGGATTTTCGGTTGCCCCGCATCTGCGTCACAGCGTGATCGGTTTCTGTCAGAGAGGCTCGAAGCTGGCGTCATTAAAGCTGAGAGCGCCTGACGGCAAGGTGCCAATCTTTACTGTCATGCCCCGCACAACGGCAAACCGCACCAGGGGCAATTCAACTTCTACGTCGAGCTGTCCAGCTTCATATCTTCTGCTAGCGGGAACGGTCTAACGTTGGCACCCAGAGACTTCAACGCAAGGCTTCACACCCAGCAACCGGGCGGCGCAGCACAGCGCCGACTGGAACCGAAGCCTGCTATTGGAGCTATGCGCTGTTTCGAAGATTGTTGTGGGGAACACATTCTTCGCAGCGGCGTCGGAAAGTCTGGCCACTTGCTACCACGTCGGGTCACACCCACACATGACGCGTTCAATTACGAACATTTCGGGCAACTGGGTTTTGTGTTGGTCCCGCAGAGTCGTCCCCATATGGTGCGCGTGGTGGGATATCACAAATATTTTGCGTTTCCCTCACACCATTTCCTGGTTACTTCGGAGTTTGACATCCCAGAGGCATAGAAGGCGCAGCGGATGCGATGTCAGAGGCCAGACAAAAGCAGCTTGGACGACAAGGAGGTAGCGTCCGCATTCCGCTCGCGGCTTGGATATCTGACGGAAACGTGAACAGAACGTGGAAGATCGCGATCACGATTTGTATGCACCAGGCTGTCCAGAAGACTTTGCCGACCGTGCAAGCCGCCCCTCGACGAGCATGGATCAGTGGACGCAAGCTAAGACTCATTGAGTGCAGATTCGATGAAGACGCTGAACAGGCAAGCGCAGCAAAATGTGAAGAAAGACCGCGACGATTGGCTAACGTCTCGGTTAGACAAAAAGCCATGCGACCAATTCAAAGAACTACGTACGTAAAGGCGTTCATCTCAGACAAGGGCGCGTAAAGACATGCAGGGCAAGTTCGTAAACTCGGAAGACTTGGCGGAGACGTTGGCCTAGTATCTCGAGAAAAATACAATGAGCAAATCGGCCTCTAAAGCCAGCTCCTTACGATTCGCATCTGGGGCCCGATCTGAAGGTAGAGTTGGGCGACATCTCGGAGAACGAGGTTGTGAAGGCGGCGTCGAAACTAAAGGTCCAAAAGGCCGCCGGGAGCAACGACCTGCCTCCGGAGTTCTGGAAACCCATCTGCACGAGGGGAAGTAAGGCATGCCAATTGTCTTTGGAACTTTGCCAATAGTGCTGGTCCCAAGGAGCTGTCCCCGAGAAGTGGCACGAGGCGCGCGTCGCCATGATCTTCAAGAAGGGCGACGCCGACTGCGGGAACTACAGACCCATATCGCTCTTACAATTTGGCTATAAACTTTGTGCGTCCAATTTCCCCCAGCGGCTACTCAAAGGAGGGGCTGACGACCGCATCTGGAACACACAGTGCGGTTTCCGCTCTGGACGGGGCACCCTGGACGCAGTTTTCTTGGCCCGCAGGATTGTTGAGGAGGCGAACGCACTGCAGGACAAACGGCTGGTATTCCTAGCGCTGGACTGGGCCAAAGCCTTCGATTCGATTTCTCAAAATGAACTGTGTCGCTCGCTGAAGAGATTCGGTTAAGTGAGATACGCGTGCACCCAACGGAGAGGGGGGGGAGGAGGAGAGGAGGAGACAGGGACGGAGGGAGGATATTGTACTCATGGCAGCGTGGCGACGCGCAGCTCCACCCGGGCGTGGAACCTGACGGCCCACGCCCGGCGCGTGCGCGCGGGCCCTGACGGCCCGCGCGCTCGCGCTCTGGCACGCCTGCGGCCGCGCGGCCCAGGCGTCAGGGAGCAAAGCGGGGTGGGTGGGCACCCGCGCGTCGGCCTGAGCCGAACGCTACGGACCCAAACTGGCTACCTGAGCACACACACACACACACACACACACACACACACACACACGCTTAGCCTGCAGTCTACAAGCCTATCAGACTATGCAAGTTAAGTGAGATACGCGCGCGCTCAACGGAGAGGGGGGCGGAGGAAGAGAGGAGGAGACAGGGGCGGAGGGGGGATATTTTACTCATGGCAGCGCGGCGACGCGCACCTCCACCGGGGGTGGACCCTGACGGCCCACGCCCGGCGCGTGCGCGTGGGCCCTGACGGCCCACGCGCTCGCGCTCTGGCACGCCTGCGGCCGCGCGGCCACGAGAAAGAAAGAGCGCAGCAGTTCGCGCGGGAACGCCCCGCCAGAGGCACGAAGGCGGATCCCGCGGCCCAGTGAGCCTCGCGCGCGCGGCCACAAGCCTGCATCCTCGAGGCCTTCCGCGCCCCGCGCGCCCAGAGCGCGGGCGCGGCGCGTGCGCGAAGCGCGCAAAGTAAAGAAAGAGAACGAAGCGGCGCGGCGATGCGCCGGGCGCAGAGCGCAAGCGGGGCCCCGCCCGCGCGGCGCGCAGGAAGAAGGGGGCCGCGTGGCGCGCGACGTGCGCGCCACGCCCAAAACTCAACCTCTCACTCGCGGGCCTGGCACCGCGTGGCGGTCCGCCTCAGCGGCCCGCTGTCTGCCGCCCGCAGCCCGCGGCGCCGCGGGCGCTGGCGTGTGGGGTGGGTGCCGCGCCTAGATGGATGGCGTGTCCCCCTGGCGGCCACGGCCCTCGTCGCCGCTGCGGTTCCCGTCGCGCCCACTGCGGCCGCGGGGGCCGCCGCCGTCGCCGCCCCTCTCGCGGCGGCCTGCACTGCCCGAGGCGCGGCTGCCTGCTCCGCCCCTGGCGCGCTCGCTCGGGCCGCGGCTGCCCTGGTCGCCCTTGGAGTAGCCGCCCTTGCCGCCCTTGTTGTCCTCGCCGCGGCCCTTGGCGCCCTTGGCAGTCGCGCCGGCGCGCTTGCCCTCGGCGCCCTTGCCGCTCTTGTCGCCCGAGCCCTTGCCGCGCCAGGCTCCCTCTGGTCTTTAGGATCTGTCTTTTTAGATCCTGCATGTAAGCGTCGATCAGGATCTATTTCTTGTTGAAAAAATCGTACAAACAAAAATAGATTATGTTTAAACCGCGGTTTAAACATCGATCCAACTTGAAACATAGATAGCGCGACAAAAAACAGGAGGAAGAAAGAAGAGGAGGAGGAGGAAGAGGGAAGGAGGAAGAGGAGGAATGAGGAGGAGGAAGAGGGAAGAGGAGGAAGATGACGAGGAGAAAAAGAGAAATGGATAACCGTATGCTAGGCTGCGATGCTATGCTATGCGTCGTTGGTTATGATAAGTGTGCTATGCTATGCGGTGCGACGCAATGCCATGCATTGTTTATGTTTTACTACGCGGGCGGGCGCACAGTTCCACGGCTTTGGGTTGCGATCCTAATTCTCACTGCCCAGTGAAGGCGAGCAACATCTATACATGGTTCGCGACGTGTGCACGGTCACCGTGAGTTTTCTTTTTATATATAATCGCATGCAAACTCAATTACACGATGTGCACACGCAAATACACATATATTTATGAATATACATATATGTGCGCACGCGCAGAGGATGGGGGACAATTCGGTTTCAATACGGGTCCAAGACGGCCCCAATACGGTTCCAAGACGGCCCACACCAATATTGCCCAAATCTTAAGGTTCTAAGACAGCCCGTCGATGGCCCTAGCAGGGTCTCTCCTAGGAGCCCCCCTCCCTCCTCATCGTCCTAAGGTTTTCTGGCGTCGGTGATGGCGCCAGCCGCGCGTCGGCGCTGGTGCTGGCGCAGGCGCTCAGTCTTTGCTGGCGTCGGCGCTAGCGGGCGCAGGCGCTCAGTTGTAGAGCACGGGCCAGTTGCACATGACACAGTTGCCGCCGCGCGAGCCAGCGACCTGGTTGAGCCCGCAGTGCGAGCACGTCGCCCAGGTAGTCTTAGCCTCCTTCTCCTTCTTCGCCACGCGCTCGAAGATGTCGCTGATGAGCTCCTCGTCGCTGGCGTGCTCTCACTTGACCTCGCCCTCGCCCGAGCCGCCCGTGCTGTCCGAGCTGTAGTCGCCCTTGCCGCTCAAGCCGTTGTGGCCCAGCTCGTCGCAGGGGCCGTTCTTTAACTGCAGGGCCACCTGGAGGAGGACGTCCAAGTCGCTGAACCCGCAATCGTAGTGGATGACGTGCTGCCTGGGACCATCGTATGGCATGAGGCTGTCGGCGTCGTTGCCCTTCGAGTCGTCGCCCCCCTTGGAGTTGTCGCCCGTCTTGGAGCTGTCGTCATTCGGCGCGCCATCGCCCTCGCCGCCCTTGGAGTCGTCGCCCGCATTGGAGCTGTCGTGATTCGGCGCGCCGCCGCCCTTGCCGCCCTTGGAGCCCGCGTCACCGCCCTCGTCGTTGTCCTTATCGTCGTCCTTCGGGCTGTGGGCCTCGATCAATTTGACTTTCCCCTCGAGCGTCTCGACTCGGGCCGTCAGCTCGCGCACGGTCTTGAACAGGTCGCTGTTGCTTGTCACCAGGGTGCTCATCAGGGCTGTCACAAGGGCCTTCGCCAGCTCTCTGTTGGTGATCAGGGCTGGCACAATTGCGTCCGTCAGTTGCCCGCTGGTCTGCATGGCCTGCGTCAAGGCCTTCGTCGCTTCGTCCAGCGCCGCCCGCATCGAGCTGTCTGGGAGACGCGCGGCGCTGTTCGCCTGCTCCGCGCTGGCCCCCTCGCGCCTGCGCGGCGACCGGCTGCGGTGCTCGTCATCGTCGGAGCACGGCGGAGGGGGGCATGGCGGCGTGCCTGGCGGAGGGGGGTATGGCGGCGTGCCTGGCGTGGTCGCCATCGTCGGACATGGCGTCGGCGCAGGATATTTGAGCCAGAAATGCCCTGGACATGTTGTGGAACGTTTGTTCTCGTGCGTCCAGATTGGAACCCGAACAGCGTTCATTCGCATATAACTATACACTGTGTGGTGCAATATACGTGCTGCAATCTAGATGCGTTTGCGTCGCGTGCTGCTCGTCACTCGTTGAGACACATGCTATACTAAACGTCATTGCACCCGTGATCTGCGAAGCGACCTTGGCGACGACGGGCGACTCCGCTCCGACTTGCGTCAGCCCGCGCCCCGCGCGGGCGCGCGTGGATGTCGACTGGGGCGGAACCGCCCGTCATCGCCCGCGTCATCGCAGATGACGGGTGCGATGGCGCCTCAGATAATGGGCTCCACGAGATCCCTCTCACAGAGGAGGGGGACGAGGCAAGATGAGGGGGATGAGGAGGAGGGGGAGGAGGAGGAGGAGGAGAGGAGGAGGAGGGGGGCGAAGAGGAGGGGGAGGAAGGAGGAGAGGAGGAGGAGGGAGGAGGGAGGAGGAGGGGGGGAGGCGGTTTCTCCAGCGCGCTGCGCGCGGCGACGGGTTAACCGCGCGCGAGGCGATTGGTTGCGAGAGATCCTCGTCGTCGTCATCGTCGTCGTCGACGTCGACGTCGTCGTCCTCCTCCTCCTCCCCCTCGTCCTCTTCTGCACCTCCTCCTCGTCATTCTCTCTCCTCCTCCTCCTCCCACTCCTCCTCCTCCTCCTCCTCCTCCTCATCCTGATCCTCCTCCTCATCCGATGCTTCTCCGCCCTCCCACGTTACGTTGCTGCGCGCGCGATGCACGTGCCCCCCCCCCCCAAACAAAAAAAAAAGGCAACGAAAAACAGACGGCGCCTCCAGCGATCGGCTGGCGCGCAAAGAACCTAGCTAGTCAAGCTGGTCCAGTGGGGGAAAAGCGCAGGCTCCGTAGGCTCCGCTACTGCGGGCCGTCAACATCATCGTCCTCGGCGCCCGCCATCCTCCAGCCACCATCCAAGGAGTCGGGCGAGACGTGATCGGGGTACTCGAACATGGGCTCAGCATCAGTGTCGATGATTGCGTAGTACCAAGAGTTCTTCCACACGACGTCGTCGCCCCTCAAGGGCAGGCCCGTGGCGCATCCCGCGCTGTTGCGGTAGATGCGCGCCCCGTTGGTGAGCTTCTTCCCATTCGGCAAGGCCAGCTGCGAGACTATGCACTTCTTCAGGAGGAGAACCCGCACTCCACCGCTGTCGTGCACAACCGCAGGATTCGGAACCTTGATGGGCCCCCACTCGCCCGTGCCCTGAATCTTCACGGTGAAGGTCAGGAAGGGGTCGACGTCCACGCCAGAGGACATAGTGGATGCCCCCCGCGATGAAGGTTGGTGGTCGATCGCCATCTTCGTGCTCGAGGCGATAATGTACTTCGTGCCGGCATGTACGACGTACTTGTCCCATAGTTCGTGCTTTGTCGTAGTGAAGTCCGCAGAGGATTCGTAGATGTAGATCTCGTCTTTGTCAGCGTAGATCGAATAGTTCTGCTGGATGCTCTCCTTGATCTTCTTCACCTCGACGCCGTTCGGCCACGACGTGTTCGTCCCAGTCTGCGCCAACACTGGCTCTGTAGTGGCCAACTCCTTGAAGTGGATCTGGAACTTGCTCAGGGGGGCAGTCGTGTCCGATGGCACCACCGCGAAGTATTGACCCGCATTCGCCATCGCGTCGGGTGAAAGCGGCGGGCACGGCGTCGGGGGCGGCGTCGAAGGTGTGCGACTTGAGCCAAAATGCTATTCAACGGGGTCTGTTCCAGCGTGGACCCCAACCAGCGCGTAGACCCCAAGCAGCGCGGGCCCCAAACAGCGCGATAACAGCGTAGACCCCAAACAGTTCGTGGGCACCTGGGCAGTGTGGACCCCAAACGGTGCCTCGACCCTAAATAGCGCGGGCACCACCCAGCGTGGTTCCAGCGCGGACTCCAAACAGTGTGCGCACCCCCAACCAGTACAGCATTGACCCCAAACAGCGTGGGCAATGTGCTAGTTTGTGATGTAATATATGCGGTGCAATCGATGCGTTTGTTTTTCGCGCCAACGAGCGATCTATATGTGGTGCAATATTAATATACGTGGTGCGATCTATGCGTTTGTGGATCGCCGACAAAAGCGCTGGCGACAACGGGCGACAACTTGCATTGACCCACGCCCCGCGCGGGCGCGCGGTGGACGACGGTTGACATGGCGCCGCCCGTCATCGCCCCCGCCATCGCGGATGGTGGGTGCGATGACGCACCAGTGAAGGCAGCGGGGGGACGAGGAGGAGGATAAGGACTCTAGCCAAGCGCGAAACGGCGAGCTGTCAATTGTGTTTACACACATCCAGGCCAGCGCGGACATTGAATTACGCACGGCGGGCCGCATTAGCAGCCCGCTGAGACAAACCTGCACAAACGAGGCTTGCGAACGCAGCAGTAAACTCAGACGGGTAGCGGGCCGACTGCTTCAGGTGCGACTTCTGCCCGATGACGAAATGCTTCTGGCTGCCTGCTTTCCTGACCCGCGTTGTCAAAGCAAGTCGCCTGGTTGCGCCAAGCTTTGACACGGCCTCCCTGTGCCCTTTCACGATGGCGCGCACCTCGTCGCTCATGATGTTAGTGTAGAACTCGTCTGGCTTCATCGTGGGCCCGCCCCATCCGCCCATCCAAGAAACGTGCCGCGAGAGCTTGCACATCTTGATGGCCGAGCGCACGCCAGGGAGCACGTAGAACAGCGAGTTCAGGGGCTGTTCGCACGTGATGCGCAGGCAGCGGCAGGACGCCAGCGTCATCAAGTACGACCTTGCTGGCCACCCCCGGCCCCCCGACATCCGCTCCCCCCGCTGCCCACGTGACCTGCTGTAGCCGTCATGGGGAAGATGTCTAGGATGCCAGATGTGGCGCGAGCGCGCCTCTAACTTGCACATCCCGCTCCTCCATCCACCCGCCCCTTCCCCGCCCTCCCCTCCTTCCGCCACACCACCCCCCTCCCCACCCTCCGTATCCCCCATCCTGCTCCCCCTCCTCCTCCTCCTCCTCCTCCTCCTCCTCCTCCTCCTCCCCTCCCTCCTCATCCTCCTCATCTCCCCCCACATCCTCGCGCGCTCCTCCCCACATGGGATTGAAACCCTCGGGGCGTCAGCTCGCCCAAGAAGTTAGCGCACTGTACGTCGTCGCGACCGTCACTGCCAAATACGTTCAGCGGGCGGCGTCCCGTGTGCCAGCGGGCGATCCATAGAAATGTCGAACAGGGCGGTGAAAAATGAACAAGACCTGTCGGCACCACGCTGGCCACGAGATACATGGCGTATAATGCACCAACTGCCGTGCAGCCATTCTCAAAACGTGAATTCATCATCTCAAACGTGCGCGCGATGTAGCCAGCAGCAGCAACGTTCTTTGCCGTATCACCAAAGCCAGCAAAGACTTCGAGGAACGCTGTCGCCCTGGTCACTGACGGCAAGACGCACAGGAACTCGGCCACACACACTGCCAAGAACGCGCTCGCACAAGACATGTTGACGCCTGTGCGCACGACGCGCGCCCCTGCCTGGCGCGCCCAGCGCAATCCCTCCTCGTGCACGGGCAAGCCGCCGTCGACCATCTCGAGTCGAACTGGCGGTCACTGATGAAGCCCAGACAAAAGCGAAATGCTATCTGTGAGCCCAGGGGCTATGTAGAGCGATACGTTCAACGCAGATTGAATATCCCACATCGAGAAAACTCGAAACTCAAATTTTGATCGGTGGGCATATACGGCCAACGCGCGGAGGACGGCGTTCAACCCCTCGTCCACAAAGCAGTTGTATGCACGCGGTGACCCATGTACATCCACCCTGTGCGCGGGTTTGTAACACTAGTGTCGGGGCGGGCTCTAGGTTGAACTCGGGCTGGGCTCGGGGTAGGCTTGGATGAGGGCATCCCCCTTTGAGGTGGGGTCTGGGTTGGATTGGGCTTGGGTTGGGATGGGTTGGGTCGGGTTCCCCCTGGCGCGGGATTGGCTTGGGCTAGGTTAAACCAGACGCTCACCTGAACAGCATGTGCACAGTGAGGTGGTGCTTCGGAGTGAGGGGAATTGAACTGGCAATGCAACATCGCATGTGCATGTCGCAATGAAGAATAAGCGACTGCCGCACCTCCACGGGGACGATGCAACGACGCCTTCGGATGGTGTTCAGAAGACTTAGCAACGACTGACCAGCTTGGAGGAGAAACGGCCCATGTACACTGACACCGCCGAACTTGCAGACAAGATGCATCACGAGCGGAAGCATGAGCCCACATTCAGCAGCTTCGAGGGTCATCTTATCACCTGGATGGATCCGGTCCTGAGTGTGGTGAGCTACAACGCTACATCGGGCGTCATCGCACGCGATATCTGCGATGACGCGTGCGATGACCTGCGCTATGGTCTCTCCCCCACTCCTGCTCGCCACCCTCTTCACCTCCTCCTCCGCCTCCCCCCCCACCTCCTCGCCCCCCCTCGACTCCCGCCAGAACTCGCCCGCCCCTTCCCCGATCGGGCGGGGGGCGTGCCGGCTCCTCCGCGGCCGGGGGGGGCCCGCCGACTGGGCATGCCACCAGCTCGCCCCCGCTGGGGTAGGTCGAGGTGCGCGACCAGGGGGCGGGGGGGCGGGGGGGATAGGAGGGGGGGCCACCTTGGAGGAGCATGACACACGAGGAGGAGGAGGAGGACGAGGAGGAGGAGGAGGAGAAGGCGGGGAGGGAGGATGCCGAGGAGAGCGTTGTGGATCTAACACGGAAGCTAACCGAACCTCCCCCCATGTTGGTTATTATTTGCACCCAATTGCGTCCCGGGTAGTGCAGCCCTTGCGTTTGCCCAGCATGTTGGGCGTGATCGCACCCGGCCTCATTTCAAAAGGTACATTGTTGTCGCGCTGCCACACCTTCAACTCACCTGATATCTGGCGGGCCGCCTGCGCCACGATTTGATCGACAGTGCCGTTGAAGTTCC